TAACAAATAGTCCCATTAGTTTTTGTTTTCCTTTCCTCGTTACTACTACACTGTTGTTCACATCTTTTATTACACACTAATTTTATACTTCATATCCTGTGGTGCATTGTTTGAAATGTAAACGCAACGCTGTTGTTTTTTATTTTTTTAATTATCGTTTCTATGGTGTTGCTTTTTGATTTTAAAATCTTATATAATTTATGAGGTAATTAGATACTGCAATATATTGTAATGCCCGCTGAAAATTCCATACCTGTACCACAAATACTGTTTGGAATAAAGCTGTTATTATTATTATTAAAATCAAGGAGACCGTTAGTAGAATAATAATAATATTGACAGTTATCAGGTGTCACCAGGGGAGATAACTATTCTACGTTATGGGAGGCAGGTAGATTAGACAAACTTCTTCGTAACACAAACATTTTTTACGGTAAATGCCTCAGCTATGCTTAGCTATCTAAGGCGTACCAATGTAGGGAATTGAGGTGGCGCACCTTGTATGGAAATGTGAAGGCTGATCCGTATCCACAAGGTGTACCAACAGGGGAACTCCTGGCTGACTTTACAACTCCTTTACCACCTAACCAAATTGAATAATGTTGAAGTAGGCGACAGTGGGCTTACCTCGGAGTCGTTCTGCCCTATGCAACTGTCTTCACAAGAACAGTTAAATTTATAAATGCACGTTGAAGTGGTGACTGGACTCGGTAGCTTATCCTTCATCTACATTGGAATTTTATACGTACTGTTTCGGCAAAGGATGTTTTAGCTAAGGTTTACACCGGAGAAGAGTCATCAGGTGGATGTTCGAATCAAACAAAAAAGTTACTGGCTGTTGGCTTGAGCTGTACAGCCAAGTAGGGAAATTTAGACTGTCTCACCTGGTTGGGGCTTCTTCGTGAGACGCCAACAACTAAACAGCTCTCTGAGACTGTCGATGATACATAGTTCAAAACCGAAACATGGATTTTGTTCAGTGGAGAAACATCTATCCACATAACGAATTCGTGTGTTGATGCTTGTAACCTACAGGTCGTTTATACTTGGAAGATGTGAAGGTTATAGATTTCACAATTCATCATATTCTTATCCAAACAATCCTTCTCAAGAAATTATTTGACAACATATGCATTACTTGTAATTTGTCAGTAGTTAGATTTATAGTTGTACATTTTTAGATTTTTTTATCTTAGAAGACTGCTCCAGGTTAAATGAAGAACATTCTTTTCGATAATGTCATCAAAGTTTTAGAAAAATCATTGTTGTTAACTTTAGTAATGTTTTTCTTAAAAATTAGAATCAGGTCATTAAGATCAGCAGGTTACAGTTCAAAAGCTTCTGTAAGTAATAAGATGCAGATGGATAGTGGATGGGGGGACTTGCAGTGGAATCTAGAATCCTCATTTCATCCCACTTGGGACACGTCATCACTTGTATGTACCCGTGTTCCCCAGTGTGTGTGACAGCATTCCCATTGGGGCTTGAAACCAGTACCTATAGTTTCAAACACCAAAGCGTATTATGTAGATTACCCTGAATTTGGTTTGTGGGTTAGTTTGATATCCGGATTCGGTCAGGTGTTTCAGCATAGAACTTCGGGGAGACCTTTTTACTCCTTTATAAAACCATGAGGGTGAGTGTTCGACGATACGTTGCGATAGCAACTGCTGGGTACGACCGATTTACTTAGCTCCACACAAGCAGGTGAATTGGTAGATGCACATTGATTTAGCGATTTAAATCATTGCTGACGTAGAGAAGATTAGTGGAAGTTCAGCTGCGAAGAAGGTTTTCTTCAGTATTCTGGACAGGCGGATTCGCAGTATTTATGCCAATGAGTTTCCATTGAATTGTAGATTCAGGTAGAGGGGGATTTCGGGAACAGAAAGTGTGGGAGGTTTTGATGGTTTAGGTTTCATAGATTTTGTGATGAAACGTTCTGGGTAGCCATTTTCGAGGAGGATTCTCTCCAGAGTATTTAGCTCCTCTTCCGTAGTATCTGGACTGCAAATGCTGCAGATTTTGTGGCTCAGTGAACGGATCAAGTTTCGTTTTGCATATAGAAACACTCAAATTTGAAAGTTAGTAGGTTATCCATTCCATATCGACTTTCTGTAGATGGATCTTTTTAGTGTTCACGTCTTGTTAATTTGACGTCCAAAAGAGGTACTTTTGTATTGGATTCCTTCTCTAGTGTCAACTGAATTGCTAGATGGCAGCTGTTGAAGAAGTCCGAGATATTCTCAAAATTCTACTCATTGTTGAGATAATGAAAGTGTCGTCCACGTATCTCTTGTAAAACCCAAAGTTGTCAATCATTTTCTTTAGATATCACCCCTTCTTGAATTTATACCCCCACTTATAACCACAGTTGTTAACTGGACTTGACTCGTTCAATTTTAATTTTAGTTGAGCTCTACTCAACCCCGTTTATTAGATTATGTCAGTGAACTTGCTTATTTTATCTTATTTTAGTTTCTAACCAATTAACGAAATTTTTTATCTAAAATTTAAAATTCTAATGACGCATCCTTGGAAATATCTCTTTTTTCGCTATGACAATTAACGATATATATATATATATATATATATATATATATATAAGAGTGTATCAGTTGGGAATCGAACTCTGTCTCCCTTCCTTTGGACTATGTGGGTCGTGAGTGGCGTGCACTCTACTTTTGAATCATTTGCAATTTACTACTAATTATTTATAAGTAGCTAGTGAACTAAACATTTCATTTTTTCGGGTGAATTGTTTTTATTTGCTCAATTATAATAATCACTCTCTCTCTCTCTCTCTGTTATGTTGTAACACCAGAAACCTGCACGCACACACACACACACACACTGTTCGTCAACATAATGAAGCATCGGTCGTTGAATGGTGATGATAGAATGTACACCGCACTCCTTAAACCTTGCTTGTCTAGTTCTACTAGCGAGGTGTCAGAAATGAATACAGGAGTAAGACATGGCTACCTACCTATTATCATCGATGATACTCTTAATTGTGGAGGACTTAATTCTGCGTTAGACTGACTGTGCATGGGAGTGAGAAGATAGGAATACCCTGGATCGATAAGAAAATTCTAGGATTTCTGGATTTCGCGCGTGACCGGTTTATGTTCAGTGTTACACAAAAACTCGAGGACTTGCAGGTGAAAACCAACAAATTGACATAAGAGGTTGGCAGACAGCGAAGACCGGACTGCGGCTGAACACAGGGAAGACGGAGGTGATGAAGATAACTAGGCACCAACAGCAACGATAACAATAGTCGGCACCAATCACCCTCAGCAGGAAGGGATTTGACAGAGTTTACTTTCTTCACTTATCTGGCTAGGAAGCACGGTTTCAACCGCAGTCAGGTGGAACCGATGAGGATGTCTAAACTAAGCAGGATCAGAAAAGCAAGACAGACAGACATCGCTCTGAAATCAGTTGTGAAATCTATTTCACTCAGTATAATCAATAAAATTAGGATTTTCAAAACGATTGTTAAGTCAGTTAGTTCTTTTCCGTATGCTACAGATTTTGTATCGACAGTTGCCCTCGCTGGCTCCCTACTGAAGATCAGATGGTTGGCGAGAAAGAATTAGCAATGTATATATATAACTGACGTGGGTATTTAAAGCGAGGATCGGGAAAGCAAGGCAAGCTCTCATTAATCTCAAGTCCTGTGTGGAGGTCAACAGAACTCCTCAGCATGGAAAATATGATCTGGATTTTCAACTCCAATGTGAAGTCAGCGCTACTGTACACATCAGAGACTTGGCCAGCGCGTCACGATGGGACCTTTGAACAAACTACACACTTTCATCAACAGATTCCTTCACTCAGTACCACACAAGATGAGATGGCCGGCCAGAGAAGATCAGCAACAGCAATCTCTGGAAATGAGCGGACCAACCAATTCAGCAGGAACCAGTTGTGCATCGGTGGCACAGTGATTAGGACTCTCACCGACCATGCACACTGACCTAGGTTCAATCTTCTACCAACGCACACCTGATATCTATGGTCGGCCTGCAAAATTTGGCCTACCAGTATCACATGCTGAAAATTCCATACTTGTACCAAAAATACGGTGTGGAATCAAGCTGTAATCAAAAATAATAAAAAAAAAATAAAATATACAGGAAGAAATGGAGGTGTGTATTGGCCATAACACTCGTATTATTACCACAGTCAAATCCGGGGGGAGGATAATAAATAATCTCAAAATTCTGCTTCAATTCAAACACACCACAACATTCTAACAAGTAGCTTATTATGACTATAAAAACACTCGTCTTATTGATCAATAACACTCGAATTATTATTATATCTGAATGTACATTATCTCATACTGATTTTTAATCCAATATCTAATCGATTCTACACATGTGTGTAAATGAAGTAAAGAGGTGTGTGAGTGACTTGATATGATTATGAATGGCAATAATTTGTGCTCGAAACATGGTCATCAGTTAATATTACTGTATAACACTGTGTGACAGTTTATCAAAATAAAATATTATCCATAATGGAGTTATACTCTACCATCACAGTGCCCAAGTTTTATACTTATATCAATAATGTATTGGCCATACTCTGAGAGAACAAACCATCAAGTGAGTGACATCACATGCCAGACCATTGCTCGAGTGGAAGCTGAATGGGAAGTGGCGGATCTTGTCGTCAGTGTGAGGGTGACATGAAGGAGGTGATGCAAAGAGGAGATGAAAGCAAATGGTCAGACATGGAGTCAGGTGAAAACGTAGGCAGAGAGAACCGAACGCTATGGAGATGTGCGACCGTAGATCTATGTTACTCTAGAAACTAAAGGAAATTATATATATATATATATATATATATATATATATATATATATATATATATATATAATGGAGCTTAATGAGCATCTTTCATTCTAACTGTTTTGTAAACATACATTCACTTATTACACTTTAATTTTTCGTATGTAATGTTACTTTTTCCCTTTCACATTTCAGAATGCTATACAACAAACTGTGTTGAATTATTTGAAGAATGATGCCAATTTATATATGAATATATTAACATATACGGTAATTAGATATTTTTTATATATAGTGAGTAACGTCCATTTCTATTTTAGCCATTAGAATTTGATATTGTACATAATATGCTTAAATCAGCTGGTATAATAATTGGTCAACAGAAATTAATGAATCTTTTAGATGATCAGGTAAGCGGTTCCCGCATTCCTCTCTCTTTTTTTCCTAATATTATTAGTGTGTGTGTGTACCTAAGGTGTATGTTACACAGTCTTCTGAGGAGGGGAGAAGAGTTACTGTTGAAAGGAACATTCTGAGGAGTTATTTAACTGACTAACACTTATCTGAACAAGGCGTGGACACTAGTCTTCCTCTTTTAACTGAGTTTTCTACTTTGAAACTAGGCAAAGCAGTGACTGACCGACTGACTGACTGGTATCAACATAGAACTTTGCGCCGACGCGCAGCAGTTCGATCGCCCCGACCGATAACTGCTACCTTAACGTAGTGGTGGTCGGGCTTGCATATCGCAATGACCCAACAAGCTATGTTGGCTGAAAATATTGTTTCTTCATGTCCTACCATGCCAGGAAGGTTGTTAGGATAGCGATTAGACTAAAAGCAGTTACTGGCATTGTGTAAGAATTCTTCTTTCTTACACTATGCTGGGGGTCTGTGGACGAAGTCATGTTGCTGGGGAACAGGGATGTAACATCAGTAGGGTGTCTCCGTCGGATGAACAGCATGCCAGCCAGCTATGCTGTCTCTCCACTTTGGAGGGTGGGGATTAAAAAAGGTCAAGGCCAAAAATTGTATATTCCGACTTTCCCCTATGGTGGTCCGTAAATGGCGGTGAGTTACTAATACGGAACCAAATCAAGAAACTAGTTCATACAGGCCGTGTGTGACAGGCCTCAAGCAGTTGCCTCCTGGGCTCTGTGGTCACGCGACACTAATTCTTTTTCTGTTTCAGGGACGCGAAGAATCAATCAACTTCCACAGTGTGGGCAGCTGGGAAGTAACAACCATCCACACACTTCCAAAAGGCACAGCAGTAGTACCTCATGGTGGAATTACTCTAGATGTGTTTAAGGATGTCGGAGATCATTTACTGACTAGGTTAACTATAGTATACGTCAATGTCCAGGACTTAGAGATAGATAGTCCCGTTGGACTGATATGTGTGTTTATTGATTATCCCAGTATCCAAGAAGAGGCAGACAAGTCTTCCTGTGATAACCACAGAGGGATAAGCTTGATCAACATGGTATCTAAAGTTCTAGACTCAATAATAATGTGTAGACTAAGTGGTGCTCGGGAGGAACAAACACGAGAAAATCAGACAGGCTTTAAACCAGGAAGAGGCTCTATTGATCATATCTTCACTATTCGACAGATTCTGGAACATAGGCATACTTACTGGCGTCCAACAATCGTCATACCTCTTGATCTGAAAGCGGCATTTGATTCTGTTGACCGAGAGGTACTTTGGAGATGTTTGGCTTTGAAGGGAATCCCGAGAAAATGCATCGCAGTAATCAAGGCTATGGAGAGTTGTCATCTGAGGTGGTGACAACCAGTGGTGTCCGTCAGAGATGCCCACTGTCCTTGTTTCTGTTTAACTTCATCATAGTTGTACTAATGGATTTAACCCTAACTGACTTGAGCGACTCATGGAATAATCTCGTTGACTTAGATTATGCGGATGAAATAGTCCTCCCTCCTAGGTGAAGACGCTGACAAAATACAGAGTCTTCTGAACACCTTGAGCTGAGCAGTAATCTTCGAATGTCTGGCATGCGATTTGCTCCTGCTGTCAAATGTAAGATGATGCTACATGACTTCAGTACATCGCCTCACTCGTAGCGTAGAGATAAGGCGTAAAAGAGTAGAGCGTGTTGACCACTCCATTTATTTGGGAAGTTGCATCAGCCAATGCCAGCGAGTTGATCACTGATGAAATCTCAGAACACATACAGAAGCTCGTTTGGCATATGCTCGCCCATCTCTGGCTTATTAGACTTGATATCCGACTAGCTATTGATCAGAGGTCGTGTGGTGTGTACTGTTCAGCAGTTTACTCCGTCCTCCTTTATGGTTAGTTGTGAGAAGTAGAGATTGAAAGTGGAAGACATGAAAAGGTCAACTAGCTGTCTTTGATCGATCATAGGTGTCTTCGTTCTATCTCCTATGTTACTTGGCATAATAGGGTGAGCAATATTGATTCGGTTAGACTTCGGTCGAGTGCCAGGTAATGACAGAAAGAAAGTCGACGATGTTGTGCAGTTACATCGATTGATATGGTTAGGACACGTGTTACGCCTGCATCCCTAGCCATCCAACACAGAACTTTGCACAGGAGTACAGCACTTTGAGTAGTTGCCACACTTCCTCCATGTAACACCACACAAAGTGTCTTGAAGACTCCAATAAGGCAGTTAACACATCCTTATATAGGCTGACTCAAACTAGTAATCGTCTAAGACTTGATGCATGAATTGGTGTAAAATTTTGATTTGACCATATCTTAACACTATTTAAACCTAATCCAACGTCGTCAGCTAACCATTGTTTGACGTGTAAGGAAGTCGACGTCACATGTCCTAACTATCTCAATCGATGTATCGTTTCACAATCCTAAATTGGCTAACTGCCCCACCGAGCCTCACCTACCTAAATCCCACCTCTTACCTCATTCATTACTTTCAGCTCGAGCGACCCCAGTTAACTAACTTTTGGGCTTAAATATCATAGTAACACATTCATTACAGAAAGAATGATGGTGTAGGCATGTTAGTGAGATAACATTAAATGACAATTCAATTGAATTTGAGATTTTCCCGTCGATTGACTGGACCGAAGTGCTCGGTCTCAGGTTGACATATCGGCGACGATGTCTGGGCATTTAGTTAGTATTCAATCGGTGGATGGTGACTAGCAGTGGAATTCAGTCAAGATGCGCGTTTCGTCCTATTTTTGGGACTCGTCATCCAACTGGATGTGTACCTGCATTTCTCCGTGAGTGATGAAGTGCCCCACCACCCCGAGGCTCGAACCCAGTGCCCAAAAAGGGTGGCTCTTGTGGCCCAAGTGGGGGTCTAGTGGATAACGCCTTGGCTGGTGTTTGAAACTATGGGCACTAGGTTCGAGCCTCGGTGGTGGGAAAGTCATCACTCACTCACTGGGGAATGCGCAGGTACACATCCAGTTACCTGAAGAGTCCCACATAGGACGAAATGCTCTTTATTCTGGATTCCACTGCTAGTCACCATCCATCAATTAAATTAAATGACAATATTCATATTAATTTTCATCAATCTTTTATTTTACTCCAAATGTACAGTGTATAACATTCACTCTACGGAATCGTGTTAAGCATCATAATACCGCTGGTGCTAGTGCTGGTAATTCAAGGAATAAACGATCAGTCAATCCAAACAGAAAAGTATCATCGAATCAACGGAGACATCAAACTTATCATAAAACCTAATATTAATATCTTTCTATAGAAATATTAATACTGACTATTGAAATCTTTCGTCCACATGAGAAGTATGATATCTAACGATAATTTGTATTTTTGTATATTTATTGATTTATTTCCTTCATTATTTCATTATCTGTAAATATGAATAAAGTTAACTGAAAAACACAACCCCTTCTCTTACTGTACAAATAAATGCACATAAGCCATCTAAGATATCGACCAAACCAAATAAAAAAAAATCTCGGCTCACATTCAACAAATACGGATACATGCACAAACAGAAACAAATTTCTAAAAAGAGACAATACAAAATAGCTAATTTCCGTATAACGCCAAAACCAGAGAAGAGAAGCACAGTACATTAGGTTTACTCACTGACAGATCAGGTGAAGGTATGCAGCTCATCGACCGAGAATCGAACCTGGGCCTTCCACGTGACAGGCGGAGATACTCACCACCATACTATCGAGGAGCACGTACACACTCACATAATCAACCAACTTCACACTACACAAACAAATTAACTAACTGACACACACACAAACTAACTCACTCACAACAACCACCTATCAACTCCATCATTCACGAAAATATCGTCATCATAACAACAATATCTATCTATCTATCTATCTATCTATCTATCTATCACTCATCACTTCAAAGAACTCACAAAATATTCACCAAGCCACAACTAGCCACATCATCAAGTAACGAACGCTTAAAGTCTCCTCACGCTGACAATCTCATCGACTGACAATCCATCCGTCACTCGTCTACCCACACATTCACTCAATCGCCATCAAATTCACAAACAAACAATCTGTCTGACACACACACACACACACACACACAACGATACCCACTACTGCAAGCTGATTTCCTCAGAAACATGAAAATCACCTCCGAAACGACAATTCATGTCATCTGACCGAAACGAAATGCATTCGTACTCACGAGGACAACACACATATGCGTGTATGTGCGTTCCAGGAATGAGGTGATTTCTTATTACCAGAGGTGATTACTATACATTGTGAAGTGGTGTGTGTGTGTGTGTGTGTATTTGGAAGTGGATGGATGGATTAGTTAGTGATTTGGATATATGTTTGAGTGAATGAGTGATAATGTGGTAGGCTGACCGATTGACTGATTGATTGGTTGATTGAATGATTGTTTGATTGATATGAGAGTGTGTGTGATGTGTGTGATGTGATGTGTTGTGTTGTATGGTGGTGGAGAAGTCGGGCGGGCCTCCGTAGCTCAGTGGTCAGAGCACTGGTCTTGTAAACCAGGGGTCGGGAGTTCGATCCTCCCTGGGGGCAGAGGCTTTTGAGAAACAACCACACAACACAACACAATCACACAAACACATCAACACACCAACAATAAATATACACTCAACAACTATCATCCTCACCGAATCACAATCACTCACTGAGTCACTCACACTCACGCACAATACATCCATCAACACTTACCTCGAAATGACCACTATGTCACCTAAATCGCCTAAATAAAACCCATGATGATACATGGTAGATACACTGTCTGTCGAAGACGGACACATACACACTCGAATACGCACACACACACACACACACGGATGTACACCATCAACGCTCCTCTCTCGCCCGTTCGCTCTTCGTCTATCCATCGATCAACATTTCTGTGTGCATTGTTCTCCTCCACTGTGTATGTGTCAGGGTCTCGTCTATGAAAAATACAACAAATCGAAGTATTACTGCTTACCTGTCAATACTCAATCCAACTCTCACTCTCGCTGTCTCTCTCGCCGTCTCCCTCGATCTCCCTACCTACCTACCTTCCTACCTACCCACCTCCCCCCATGCCTCCATGCCTCCCCGCCTCCATCCACCGCCTAATCACGTATCACTCAGCTCGTTCACACAGTGCTGACCCAGCTAGAATTGACTTGTTTCGCACTGCGGAACTTTGGGTCAGACTGCAGATGACTGTCTGTCTCACTTTCTGCAGTACGCCCGAAGAAAATCCTAGCTGGCTGAGGAGAACATAATCTTCGTCGATCCGACATTTCTTCCGACATCCGAGTAATACTGTGTTGTGCTGTGCTGTGCTCTGCCGTGCTCCGCTCTGCACTCTCACTCATTTCGTATCAGTTAATCTACATTATTGATTTTGAGTGTTTCGGCTTGACTGAGTGTGTACTGTTGTTCGGTCTGTCAAGGTGATGTCGACAGTGTTGTATGGTGCGAGAGTTGGTGCAGAGCAGAGCAGAGCGGAGTGCATTTGATTGACTGATTGATCGGGTGAAGTAAAAGTCAGCTCCTCGACCGGGAATCGAACCCGGGCCTTCCACGTGACAGGCGGAGATATTCACCACTATACTATCGAGGAGCACGTACACACTCACATAATCAACCAACTTCACACTACACAAACAAATTAACTAACTAACTGACACACACACACACACACAAACTAACTCACTCACAACAACCACCTATCAACTCCATCATTCACGAAAATATCGTCATCATAACAACAATATCTATCTATCTATCTATCTATCTATCACTCATCACTTCAAAGAACTCACAAAATATTCACCAAGCCACAACTAGCCACATCATCAAGTAACGAACGCTTAAAGTCTCCTCACGCTGACAATCTCATCGACTGACAATCCATCCGTCACTCGTCTACCCACACATTCACTCAATCGCCATCAAATTCACAAACAAACAATCTGTCTGACACACACACACACACACAACGATACCCACTACTGCAAGCTGATTTCCTCAGAAACATGAAAATCACCTCCGAAACGACAATTCATGTCATCTGACCGAAACGAAATGCATTCGTACTCACGAGGACAACACACATATGCGTGTATGTGCGTTCCAGGAATGAGGTGATTTCTTATTACCAGAGGTGATTACTATACATTGTGAAGTGGTGTGTGTGTGTGTGTGTGTGTGTATTTGGAAGTGGATGGATGGATTAGTTAGTGATTTGGATATATGTTTGAGTGAATGAGTGATAATGTGGTAGGCTGACCGATTGACTGATTGATTGGTTGATTGAATGATTGTTTGATTGATATGAGAGTGTGTGTGTGTGTTGTGATGTGATGTGTTGTGTTGTATGGTGGTGGAGAAGTCGGGCGGGCCTCCATAGCTCAGTGGTCAGAGCACTGGTCTTGTAAACCAGGGGTCGGGAGTTCGATCCTCCCTGGGGGCAGAGGCTTTTGAGAAACAACCACACAACACAACACAATCACACAAACACATCAACACACCAACAATAAATATACACTCAACAACTATCATCCTCACCGAATCACAATCACTCACTGAGTCACTCACACTCACGCACAATACATCCATCAACACTTACCTCGAAATGACCACTATGTCACCTAAATCGCCTAAATAAAACCCATGATGATACATGGTAGATACACTGTCTGTCGAAGACGGACACATACACACTCGAATACGCACACACACACACACACACGGATGTACACCATCAACGCTCCTCTCTCGCCCGTTCGCTCTTCGTCTATCCATCGATCAACATTTCTGTGTGCATTGTTCTCCTCCACTGTGTATGTGTCAGGGTCTCGTCTATGAAAAATACAACAAATCGAAGTATTACTGCTTACCTGTCAATACTCAATCCAACTCTCACTCTCGCTGTCTCTCTCGCCGTCTCCCTCGATCTCCCTACCTACCTACCTTCCTACCTACCCACCTCCCTCCATGCCTCCATGCCTCCCCGCCTCCATCCACCGCCTAATCACGTATCACTCAGCTCGTTCACACAGTGCTGACCCAGCTAGAATTGACTTGTATCGCACTGCAGAACTTTGGGTCAGACTCCAGATGACTATCTGTCTCACTTTCTGCAGTACGCCCGAAGAAAATCCTAGCTGGCTGAGGAGAACATAATCTTCGTCGATCCGACATTTCTTCCGACATCCGAGTAATACTGTGTTGTGCTGTGCTGTGCTCTGCCGTGCTCCGCTCTGCACTCTCACTCATTTCGTATCAGTTAATCTACATTATTGATTTTGAGTGTTTCGGCTTGACTGAGTGTGTACTGTTGTTCGGTCTGTCAAGGTGATGTCGACAGTGTTGTATGGTGCGAGAGTTGGTGCAGAGAAGAGCAGAGCGGAGTGCATTTGATTGACTGATTGATCGGGTGAAGTAAAAGTCAGCTCCTCGACCGGGAATCGAACCCGGGCCTTCCACGTGACAGGCGGAGATACTCACCACTATACTATCGAGGAGCACGTACACACTCACATAATCAACCAACTTCACACTACACAAACAAATTAACTAACTAACTGACACACACACACACACACACACAAACTAACTCACTCACAACAACCACCTATCAACTCCATCATTCACGAAAATATCGTCATCATAACAACAATTTTTTTTTTTTTATCTATCTATCACTCATCACTTCAAAGAACTCACAAAATATTCACCAAGCCACAACTAGCCACACCATCAAGTAACGAACGCTTAAAGTCTCCTCACGCTGACAATCTCATCGACTGACAATCCATCCGTCACTCGTCTACCCACACATTCACTCAATCGCCATCAAATTCACAAACAAACAATCTGTCTGACACACACACACACACACACACAACGATACCCACTACTGCAAGCTGATTTCCTCAGAAACATGAAAATCACCTCCGAAACGACAATTCATGTCATCTGACCGAAACGAAATGCATTCGTACTCACGAGGACAACACACATATGCGTGTATGTGCGTTCCAGGAATGAGGTGATTTCTTATTACCAGAGGTGATTACTATACATTGTGAAGTGGTGTGTGTGTGTTTTGTGTGTGCGTATTTGGAAGTGGATGGATGGATTAGTTAGTGATTTGGATATATGTTTGAGTGAATGAGTGATAATGTGGTAGGCTGACCGATTGATTGATTGATTGGTTGATTGAATGATTGTTTGATTGATATGAGAGTGTGTGTGTGTGTTGTGATGTGATGTGTTGTGTTGTATGGTGGTGGAGAAGTCGGGCGGGCCTCCATAGCTCAGTGGTCAGAGCACTGGTCTTGTAAACCAGGGGTCGGGAGTTCGATCCTCCCTGGGGGCAGAGGGCTTTGAGAAACAACCACACAACACA